TTTCAATTGACTTAGGAATTCAGTTACTGATTCACCAGAATCCAAAAAAAAAACTTTCATTGCAATCACATCACCTAGATAATCTTAATCACAATAAATTACGATTTAAAATACTTCAATTCGATCCCTTTTGATGAGTATATTTATGATTTATTTATAATTGTTCCATATATAAGAGCCCGTATTCAAATGTGAACACCTCTAGAAAAAGTATAAAACATCGTACAAGCAATCACACGATTTACAATGATAATTGCAGATAAGTGAATTTAACAGTTCTGTCTACGCTTGCCTTTGGCGAGGTTACTCTTTGAAATAAAAGAGAAAAAAAGTGTAACACGAAAGAGTTAATTCTACTTGGAATTTTTAAATTGAATGTAATATTACAGTTTAAAGAGATGCGATGTTAAAAAAACGTTTTTAAGATGGTTGCTGATGGGAAATAGCTATATTTGAGAAAGAGTAAAACGAAAATCACAATAGATGGAGTAAACTATCTATCAATTATCTTTATAATCGTTTTGTCATAAGAAAAAGGGGAGATATAAATGAAGGGACGATCATACCAGGAGTACTGTTTGTGCACTGCATGCTGCGGCCCTCCAAAACAAAGGGCGGTTGTATATAACCCCCCCCCCCACTTACTAGAGGAATTCCAGAAGAAAAAAAAGATATCCTTAAGGCTTTAGTTCCTGTAATGCCGATAAACCGAAGATATTTTTGGGAAAATATTTTTGTAAATAATGATTCATTAGATTTAATAACGTCTCTTGAAGAAGATTAACTACTAAGAACGATAATATGATTTTTTTTTTGAAAATAAAAGCTTTTCTAAATACACTCAAGTGCAAAAAAATCGATCTATTTCTTATTTCTTATTTATTTGAAGTTGTATAATTTTAGAGACATTAAATTACGTATGTAAATTTAGGTGTACTCTCGTATACGAGAAATAAAATAATTTTTTATAATACTGCTTTTTATATTTCTTAAAACAAATTGGTATTTTAGATTTTTGTCAAAAAGGGTTTGAAGCAAGTAGATATTTCTTGAATGTTGTTTTTAATTCAACAACCCTACTAGTGTAGTGATTTTATTTTCAAAATGAGTTATATTTTTATTTAATGATCCTTCCTAAATGTCTCTAACTCCGGCAGATGCTGCAAGGGCGGTGACATTAGTTCAAGATGGTCGTAGCCAATATTATGCAGCTGAAATGTTGGGTGTTAGTCGATCTTCAGTTCAAAGAGCAGTTCGGCGTTTTAGCGACACCGGTAACTTTCACAAGAAGACCATGATCAGGTCGTAGAAGGGTAACATCCGAAAGAGATGATCGATTTCTGGTCTCATCATGTTTGAGAAATCGGCATCTAACTTCAGTTGAACTGACAAATCGTCTAAGCAAAGTGAGAAATGTGGATGTAAGCAGATGGACAGTTCGTCGACGACTTGTAGAAGGTAATTTATTATCTAGAAGGCCAGCCCTATCTCCAATACTATCCATAGAACATCGCAGAGCTCGCTTTGCTTTTGCAAGAGGACATGAAAACTGGAGTGATGCAGATTGGAGCAATGTATTGTACTCAGATGAGTCCAGATTTTGTCTAAGGTCACCAGACGACCGAAAGGTTTGGAGAAGACACGGAGAGAGCGATATTTTTAATGTAATATTGCGAACAGAATAAGTTATCGGGGCTGTTCCGTTACGGTTTGGGCTGGTATCAGTTCAGAAGCCCATACTGATTTAGTTATTGTAGATAGAGTTTCTATGACTGCTGCAAGATACATAACAAGTATTTTAAATCAGCATGTGGTACCTTTTGCTCCTTTCATTGGACCTAATTTTATTTTTACGGACGACAACGCGCCTCCTCGCCGTGCTAGAATCGTCAATCAATATATAGAGGAGGTGGGAATCGTCCGTATGAACTGGCCAGCTTGCAGTCCCGATCTCAATCCCATAGAACATCTATGGGATATGATGGGAAGACATCTTCGAGCACGAGTACCCCGTACAAACAACTTGGCTGAACTTACAGCGGTTCTTCAAGAAATATGGGACCAATTGGATCAATTTGGTATCCAGAGGTTAATTACCTCAATGCCTAGACGTGTACAGGCTGTTATAAGGGCCCGAGGGGGAAACACTAGATATTGATTTATTATCAATGTTTTTCTTAATTTCAGAAAATTTTGAGTGTATGTACCTGAGTGTATATACTGTGGTTTTGTACTATTTTTTTAAATATGAATTTAACCTCCGGTAAGATGTAAAACATAGTATCTGCTTTAAACTTGGTTAAACTACAAATTTGTAAAAACGGCAACCTCATAAAATATTTTGAACATATTTACAGTTAAATAAAAAACCTTCCACTTCAAAAATAGTGTTTATAGATAAGTACAGCAAAACTTTTAAAGTTAATTACGTTATTCTCGAAAAGTATATGTCTGCAGATACTATGTTTTTTCATTAGGGCAGCCGAACAAATCGGTCTTTATATAAGATAAACCAAAATGTATTTGTAAAAAATAAGCGCGATAAGCTTTGGCAAACGAGTGTAATTAAAAAGGTCCTAACTTTTAGTTTAGTACCGTTTTTAAATAAAGGACACTAGTACGTCTGTTGATTCAGATGATTTAGGAAGTATTGTTTATGAAACTTTACCAATAGAAGATAGTGTTTTACCGGATGTGTGTGATACAGTTGTACAGCCAAGAATAAGTATTAGCCCTTCGTTAATTTTAGATAGAGATAATAAGAACCAGAGCAATGTCATGAAAGTTGAAGTTGCACCAAACAATTTTATTCAATCATCAGTTTTAGAAACAACTCAGCACTCTGCTAGTTCTATTACAACTACAACTTCACCTTCTATTTAATCACGCCTACATGTTAAATATTTACTTATTTAAGTTATAGCATTTTGAAACATACCCCAATGACGTAAAATGCATACTTTGGGGGATGTCTCAAGAAAATGTAATGGAATACGGTCATGCCAGCAAAGATGTTATGTTTATACAGTGTGGATTTTAAGTCTTACCCCCCCCCCCTCTAGTGAACTTCGTTATTAAAGACAAAGATGAAAAACGATCGGAGCCGTCAATTTTTATTTTAAGAGGTATTTTATAACAGAAAAAATCGTCATCCCTTTCATCCCCTTCACTTGACAGCTACCCCCTCAGATTTGTTAAATAGCAATGGGAGCCGTGCGATAGTTCATTGGAAAGAGTTTGAAAAGAATAATTCTAAATTGGGGAATTATTTTTTTACAGAATAAATACTTTTGTGTCGTTAAAACATATCGTGGTTAGAACAATTTTTTAAATAATCTAGTTGGCGTGTCTAGTTTTTGACAACTGTCATAAAAACCAAGCAATTAGCACTGTTGATTGTAAAGAATATTGACGAGAACTTGAGAGTTGGTGAACTTTAGTGATAACCTGTAAATTTTTAGTATTCAAAAGCACGTAAAATAAGTGAGCTGTATTGCAAATAAGAGGAGCATCAAATGTTTTTTCTTTTAAATCAATGGGTTTTATAAGTGCCATTTCCTCCAAAATTAAAATTAATCGTGTTCCACCTAGAATTAACTTTATTATGAAGAGTTTGAGAGATTGTATCAGTTTGGCTGCTTCAGGACACATATTTTTTTAAAAAGTCACGATTAAAAAAAAATTTAAAATTTAAAAAAAAACCATCTTTTTTTATATCTCAAAAATGACCATAGATACGTATAAAAGTGTGGGAGTAAAAAAATTAGGTATTTTTCTGATAAATAATTTCGTTTTTTGATTTTTCTGTGAAATAAAAATTGATGAAGATTTGATTGTTTAAAAAGCGCGTGGTAGTGCAATCACAACCTCTCTTAAGCTCTTTAACCATTCACCGTTTTAGAAAAAGGTTTTTTACTATAGATTGCAATAAAGGATGTTATAGCTCTCGTAATTACCTTTACAATGGTTTTTTTTATAAATTGTGATAGCATAAAAATTGAAAGAAATGGCACTTATGAAACCCATTGATTTAGAATAAAAAACAATAAATGCTCCTCTTATTTGCAATACAGCTCACTTATTTTACGTGCAAAAGACTTTTAATAGTGCTTATTTTAAAGCTTATTACAAGCACTACAAAACCCTTTTTTATTATGCCTAAAATGCATCTGCTCGCCGCCAGATGGCATTGGCCACATCAATTAAATTTCAGACAAAATAAAAAACGGCTTTGATCTCTAATATCTAGTTTAATATTGCACTTAGAATACTTTATAAAAAAACCAAATTGTTCATGTTTTATCTGCTACAATTTTGTTTTTTATAAAATTTTCGATAAAACGTATATTTTTGAAGATATTTGCAAAAAACCGATGAAAAACGTGAAATAATTGCGAATTTTCAATTGCTAATAACTTGAAAAGTATTGGATTTTTCGAAAAACTTTAAGGATGATTTTTTGCTTAAAATTAGGCATTCTATCGATATCCGAGGTTATTTTGAAGAAAAAAAAATCACCCCCGAGAAGGGGTGGCAACCACCCCCAGGTGGTTGCGGAGTTCAGATCATTTTCACTTTTGAAGTTAAGGGTTCCAAAATTCCATGCAAATCGGTTCACAGTAAAAAAATTCGGAGGTAAGACCGTATTTTTCGCTTCAATGACTGCACTATTAATACAACATTACTTCCCATAGCCCAAAAAAATTATGACCATTTAAAATTTCTGTGTGACAAGGGAGTTATATTGAATCCTTATCATAATTTTTTTTAAATTTCCCATTTTCTAAGAAAGAAACAGCAAAAGATGCAGACAATGACAATTGAATTGGGATTTTTCTTATTTCTATCTCTAGTAACAATATATTCGATTATTTTTAAGTTCGATTTCTTTATTCATTGTAAAGATCTTTTTAAAAATGTGTTTGATTTCAAATAACAGATTTAAACTAGTGGGTATTGTTTATTATTAATTATTATTATTACATCAGATCTATTCTATGTCACATTACAAAAGTAGTAACCTATAACATAGAATTATTAAAAAACTTGTGAGTATACTATGTCCACTTATTTCATAATTTCATAATTTTAGAGAATAATAGATAAAGAAACGTATGTGGGCACTAAAAAATATTTCAATTTAATTTATTGCTACAATTTTACATAAGGAGATATCAAAACCAAAAAAAACCTCTTCTGTAAAATTTGCATTTTGTGACATGACGTTTTGCTCTCGAGGGACGATATGAGAATATTAAAATAACTTTTAATAACAAAAATTGTTATTTAGAAGAAAAGGTCAAATATCACATTATCCTACATTATTTATAAATAAGTATTTTTAGAGTATAAACTAAAAAAAAACTAGGAAATAAAGACCTTGAAAAATTTTTGCAAGAAGGGATTGTAAAAATATACCGAATGTAAATGCCTTGTCTAAAAAGTAAAAAAAAAAAGAAAACAAATACGATATTAATTAAAATACACATTTAAAATACTATTTTAAAATACTAAAGTACATTAACATTTATTTTTTCTGAACTAAACCTAACAATACACAAGACAAAGCAGATAGTGTTTATAAAATTGATTTAGTATTAATATTAAAATAAAATTGACTTCGTTATTTTATATTTTCCCCAAAATTGACACGATCCAAATAATAAATTTTTTAAAAATTACACTTACCTGGCTAATATTCGTCGAAATTTTAATTTGAGGCCTCTCCCGTTTGCTCAGATAAAAATCATGGTTTCGACTGTTATCCCTTGGCTCTTCGGTCGTTCCTGTGACATCACTGTTAGTTGTATCATAAATCGTACTTCCATCAGTTGAAGTAATGGTAGAAGTAACCAACGAAAACTTTCTAGGGGTAGTTTCTGAAGACAACAGTAACGTTGAAGGTATTTTAGTCGTCGTTTCGGTTTTTACATAAGGGGTAGTTGTTTCCGTGATTTTCCAAGTCGTAATTATAGTGTCTGGAGGGTTGGTAGTAATTTCGCGTTTTAATTCATTTTTAGGCTGTCTGAACCACGATTGTAAAAAGTTAGGACTGCTCCAAAACTGAGATTCTACTCTTACAGCGCACAAAAAAATCATAAACAATATCGCGCGCATTTTAGAATATTATTTATTATTAAAATGTGAGAGAACCACGGACCAAGAGTGAGTTTTCCGCAGTACCGTCAACTTTAAGAAGTCGCGAGATCGCCGATACGCGCTTGCCTAGAGAGAGCACTGACAACGATAGTACCTAAGTCGAAGGCCTAAGAGGGTCTGTCACGAAAAAGACGTTCAATGCAATATGTACCTATGCAGTGTTGCTGAATCTAACCCACTTCCTAGCTTGAGGTAACGTATTTAGATGAACCAATGGTTATCCTTCTTTATTTGCAAAATAAAACTGCACTAGACACCATCTTTGTTCCTTACAGTTTTATAACCTCTAGATTTAAAATTATCTGCAAAACGTTCATGTTTTCAGCATAAACTATTTAAAATTGATTAATATCATTATCTTATAATTTTTAAGTACCAAATAACATATATTACGGGAGCCTATATCTTTTTTAAATTATTTCGATAACATTAATTCGTTGCATTGGAATAACATAGTTCTAACTACCTCAGGTGCCATTTTGAGTTATGAGTGTTTAAAATTTCTATGTTATGTATTTATTTTACTATTATCGCCACTTGTATGTTTTAACAATATAAATTTAGAAAAAAATTTATAACTAAATTAATATATTCTTATTAACCGTAAAAGTTACTTCAATAGTTAATACAAAGGTGTTCTGATCTGAGAAATGATTTAAAGTTATTTAAAGTTCCATCTACCACGTACACCCTTGTTTAAAAATCAGTAAATAATCAAACAACCTCAGCGTATTATTTAATAAAGTCTTATCTACCACATACATCCAAATATTTTATTATATTTTCAGAAATGTTTACACATTAGTAGTTGTCTTGTACAATGCTTACAAAAAAATAAAAGTATTTGGAAAATATAATGTAACTTATGTGAAAGAAAAAAAGTAATTCTAATATTGTTCACCAATAAGAATATAATGCAAATAATTATAAAATATTTAACTTAAATAGTTGTCGTTGAGTTTACAAGCGACTAAAATATTTTTTGTCAATATCAGGCATGCATGAAGACATAATTTTCTGTATTGCAGCAATTTTTTTCTTAAGAAAGTTCATTCCGAATTGGTAAAACTTTTGGTTTTAAAATGAAAAAGACAGCAAATATTTGATTTCACGCAAACAGCGAATATGTATCTGTTGATACGTATTTCGACCTAATAGGTCTCATCAGAACAGTTATTCATAGGTGTTCTCAACGTGAAAGATCAATATTTCCTGTCTTTTAAGAAGCGACACTAAAATGGACGCAATAGCGACATCTGATAATAAATCCGTAAAATAGTTTCGAAATCAAATATTTGCTGTCATTTCATTTTTGTACGAGTACAAGAAATCATTTCGCTAAGGATTTCTGCTTAGTTGAAAAGACATGTCATGGAATGCAAATTTTAGATTCCCCATGTCTATTTTAACACCTTCATCAACGTCTGCTTTGCTTTGCAATTGTGTTTCGCAGAAATCTGAATTGTGTTTCGAAACTATTTTACGGATTTATTATCAGATGTCGCTATTGCATCCATATCGAAACCATCTTCATCCTTCATCTGCAAAATGATATGTCTTCTTCTTATTCATGTACCGATGTCCTTTCAGAACGTTGGTTACCATCATAGCTATCTCAATTTTATTCACTACCACCCTAAATAGCATGCTTGTATCAACACCATACCAATCTCGCAAGTTCTTCAACCATGAGGTTCTTCTTCGTCCTGGACTGCTGCTACCATTATTTATTATTGCAAGGTTTAATGTGTTTATGATCTTTTTAATCTTTTTTTCCAGTGTGTGTAGTTTTAAAGGAACCCCAGTTAGTATTATGTCCATTTAGATCTCCCAAAATGAATTTCGGATTAGGAACCTGGTTTATTAAGTTTACAAGATCTTTTTCGTCTAGGTTGTAATTTGGAGGTATTATATATTTTACATATGTTGATCTTTTGTGTAGTGCCAATTTCTACAGCTACAGCTTCAAGATTTGTATGTAATGGAATTTCTTTGGATATTATTTGTTCCTTTACATAATATATTGCAACTCCACCTGATGCGTGATTTGCATTATCTTTGTTTTTAAAATACGAATTGAAGGACTTTTTCCTGGTTCTTGTTCGTATCTATTCTAGTTTAAAACATATTTTAAATAGATTTTTAAATTGATTATGGCATTCTGCAAAACATTAAATTCAAGGTGTGAATGGAAAATTTGGTCGTTCGAATGGATACTTCCTTTGTATGTGTACCTATTTGTTGCCCATCTATCTAACCGTGTGGTTGATGTCTTATGTGTTATAATTAATTCGCTCTGATGAACCCTGAGCGTGAAAACTGTCCTCCCTGTACCAGACTGAATTAATGAATACTAATATTTGTATGTAATTAAAACTAAGGGTGGTTTATGTTTTTGTAAAATATTATTAATATTTTATTAGTAAAACAGAATAATATAATAAAATATCTGATTTATATATATATATATATATATATTATATATATATATATATATATATATATATATATATATATATATATTTTCTGGTACTGCCATCCATTTGTAAGTATCTAACTTCGCTTTACCTAAAAGCAGTATTATAGTATCATGGCCGTACTTCAAAGTAACTAATTTCACTTTTACGCATATGTTCTATTCATACGATAGATGGCGCAAACAAGAAAACAAGATATAAAATAGTATCATTTATATTTGTATATTATATAGGTAATATTCAATCAACAATTATGGTTATAAATAACTTGTTTAAAATAATCTCTAATTTATTTTCTCATAAATGTTAAAATTAATTTTATTATCAGAAACAGTAACTTATTTACCTACGAATACCCTTATGCAACCTTGCCTTGTATAAAACTATGCATGGTACAAAAACGGTGATAAAGATTAATATTTTAGTCAATATTTTTTAAACTTCAAGTCTCTTATACAAAAATATTTATAATTAATAATTACTAAGATATGATTACAACGCAATAAATAGTTTGTTTACTTATATTATTTCATTTAAATATTAAAATAAATCCTAATATTAAACACTATTGCCACCTATTGTCAAAGGGTCGAAATTTTTTGTAGAAATGTCTATATTGCATTTCGAAGATTAGATTTTTCCTAATCATAGCAGAGAACTACTAACTGTGTTCGTTAGTTCTCTGATACTGATAACAGTTTCACTAGTAGTACAATTTCAGGTGATTGCTTAATGCTTTTCAATAAATTTTTATTGTACTAGTTTGTCACAATACACATAGTAGGGTAAGTAGAATAGGATAGGTGGGAGAATGATTTGCATGGGCCCATCCGTTCGTAATGGCGGCGGCGCTACTAGTCACGTTAGGTCACAGAATAATAAAAATTCTGTGCCCGAACCTAACCCTCTTATCTTTGGTCCCGAGTTACCAAACCTAGCGTGACTTACAGCGCCACCGCCATTACGAACGCTTGGAATCAGCAAAACATACTTCTCACTTGTCGTATATTACTTGCACTACTGTTTGGCAGTGTCAAGAGAACGTTGGGATGAAGGTAGCTACAAAGAACGTCCACAACCATATCTCTGGTCCACAAACAGCGTGACTTGTAGCGCCACCGACATTACGAACGGTCGGACTCAGCAAAACCTACTTTCCACTTGTCCCATGTCACTTGCCCTACTGTTTCGTATTTGCACTGTACGGGTGGGGATAGTGATTTGAATGGGCCCATCCGTTCGTAATGGCGGCGGCGCTACTAATCAGGTTAGGTGAGACTTATCTATACAAATGAGTAGGTGTATACTATATTTTTCGACAGAGAGTATTTATTTTCTGACACAGAATAAGTTTTTATTTTTTATTTTATTATTATATTTACTTTCCATTAAAAACATACTTTTTGAATTTGCCGCCTAAAAGTCAGAATTTATGTTTTTTTTTTAATTTGCCGTCACATGAAATTAGTTCGGCCCGTCCGTATTTGGCGCTAGAAACTCTCTTCCAAAATTTTGTATTGGAGTTACCTTACTAGGGGGGTATATACTATGCTAGTTTGTCAGAACTGTCAGAAGTCAGAAGAATCATCCATAGGTAAGAAGGTTAGGTTAGGAATCATCTCATACAAATCCAGCAAATAATCAAATAATATTTGTTTTTGCTACTGTGCCTCATTTAATAAAGTTGATTAGAAACCATTTTGTTGACCAAGGGTACTATACTTCCAAGGGAAGGAAATAAACAAATCTATAATCAAAGAATTATAGATATAACTAGCTCATCAGATCTTAAGATAAGCCATAAGATTACTAAAGATAGTCTTAAAGTCCAAGGAGCTGCAAGACAAAAATTGAAATGGGCAACAAAATTGTTTTGTCACACCATTTCTATGGCAATTTCCCAATGTGGAGCAATGGGAATGCTAACTCTTCATAACTGGATGGACTGTGCCGAATTTTTTAAAATGGTATGATTTAAAAATTACACTACTGTTAAATATTATGTTAATTATTTATTAATGTTTTTCTTTTACTATAAAACTATTTCCAAACAATAATTTTAATCTTTGAGTATATTTCCAAGATGTGTGATTTATTTCAGGTGAAACAATTGGTTTGATGCCTTAAATGTGAAATATTATGCAACTGATACCAGGGAGAGATCAAAAGCTTATGGGTTAGCATTTATCACCCATGATCACATTATTAATTTGATGACCACAAATTTTTTAAACTAGGGTCAAAGGCAAAACAACATTAGGGGAGAGGCTTGTACCTTGGGCAGGATTTTTTTAAACAGGTATTACAAATTCAATATTGAAGTTAAATTTTTAAAATTTACACTGGGGCAGGTATAAATTATTTTAGTATGTAAAATAAAAACTGATTACATGGGTTGGTTTTCTTAAAAGAAAAAAATTCCTGAACGCCAACAATTTGCCCAAGGTACAATATGTATTATATCTTGGGCCACAAAAGGTTGTACCTTGGGCCATAGGTAAACATAACTACCAAAACTTTTATTTTATTAATTAACAGTCACATTTAAAGTTACATAGAAACAACTCTTTAAAAAACAAAAATATTTTTTTTGTTAAGTTTTGTTTGGAATAAGGACCTTTTTATGCAAAATCAGTTACCAATAATATAAATCAATGAATTATTATTATTAAACATGAGAACAAACAATTTAAATAATGTAAACTTTACTCAACCAAATATTTTTCAAAATTCAAGTTAAATGTATAAATATCCTGTTGATGTTGTGAGGATCCATCTTTCTTGGGAACTTCCACGATGCTTTCAATGATGTCTTCCTTTTCAATTTCATATGCCTTTATATCAATCAGGCAGAAGTTTTCAGATAAGCGGATTCTCTTCAGATAATTAACCATTATTGTTGGAGTTAAAGATACTATTTTAGCAACATAAAATCATATGATCCTCTTTCCAATAAGCTTTGTGTGGTAGAATCTACCAGTTTCCAGTGTAAACTCTGTTCGTGTGTGTGGTTTGTTATTTTTAGATGCCTGACGCTTGCTCAGAAGACGGATGTGAACTATCATCGTAAGGGATGCTTTCGACGTCGTCGTTGTCAGAAGATGATGAATTGTTGAGATCCTTCGATTGGGGGAATACTGGTTTAGTCTTTTTAATTTTATTGCCTGTTAAATGATGCTTTCTCGGTTGGGTGTACATAACTTTTCTTTTCACAGCTGTTTTCTTCATGTTTTTGTTCATTCTTTCCTCGTGCTCGTTGTCTATTTCATTTTTCTCAGGTATCAGTTAAGACTTGACACTTGCCCCTTTTACGACCTGTTTGTATGTTTGTTCTTGGTGCCTTAGGTAAAGGCTGGACTACCTCTGGTGATTTGTATGGTAGCTCAGGTTCTTCCGTCTAAGCAGTTATTTTATGATTATTAATAGGGGTCTGAAATAAATGTCTTCATTGATATTAGCAGGATTATCTCTATGAGTGACTGAAGAACTATAGAACTTGTGTTCTTGAAATACATTTTCATTCACTGGCTAGATCCCTGAAACTCTGAATATAGATTCAATATTTGTGCAATTAATTGCTAGTTTATATGTCTGACTAGAAATTTCAGCAACATCGTAAATACATATAGGTTTTCCTGGGTTTCTTATCATCCATTTGGTGCCCACGTTGTTATAATAAGTTTTATATGGGCCAAAAACACTGCGATCGAGGGGTTGGATGGCTCGTATGAGGTGGAATAGTCAATATTACGACACGATGTTCTTTAGCTAAGTTGAAGGCCAAAGAAACCATACCATGTTATATGAAAATTGAAAATATAATAAAAAATAAATAAAAATAATCAATGAATTTGAAAAATCCGTTTTTATTTTTAGATGCAGTAGAGCAAAAGTACAAAACAGTCGTTCTGGAGACGCTGGAGGAATTTCGAAAAAAACTGAATGGGTCTACTTTGAAATGATGCTTTTCCTAAAAGATGCCTTAGCTGCACGACCATCGAGTGGTAATATGACGATTAGAGAAAAACATGAGGAAACAAATACTGGAACGATGATGACTCTAATGACATCATTTACGATGATACTCAGGCTGAAAAGATGACACAGCTGCAGAAGAGTGAAACAGTAAATGAGACAGTTAATTTCCGAACTCCTAGCAGACAAAAAATAGTAAATGAGCACATAAGTCAGTTATTACCAACTAAGAAACAAAGAACAACTTTTGCATATTGAGTAACAACAGCTAGAAACATATTCGTCATGGTCGTGACTTGCTGCTAATAGTGATGAGTTGAAATAACTTATACCTGTGAGAAATTTGCAAATGCGTGTTAATATTCAGCAACTGTTTTTAAACGAACAAATTAATACCTATGCAGTCTGGTTTTGGTCAACTCTCAAATCCACATCAAGATAGCGAGGGAAATGAAGTTCGATATTTTCATACTTTTACTTAAGACTATGTCGTTATTAAGAAAATGTAAATAAATAGTTAATGATCTACTTATCTATACTTACCTAAGGGTTACCATTAATTTTTGTTCAGGTACGATACATTTACGAAAATTCGAGTACTTCTCCAGTATGCTATAAAGCTTTTCTAGTAAATATTCAAATGTTAATGCAACATTCTAAAGTATACAAAAAACTTTGTTGGTTTCTTCTTCAATTGTTCGAAAAGCACCGCATATTCACGATTACTTCATAGATTATTCTGTAATAATGTCTCAATTTAACATTGCTACACTGAACAACCACAGGTTGAGAGCTGATATGTTATTTTTGTTTAACATCTGAAACAACGTTATTAATTGTCCCCCGTTATTAGCTAATGTGTACTAAAACACAATACATAGAACACTGCACTGCACTACACACACTGCACTCTTTTATATTCATTTTCATAGGACTGATAATGCTCGTCATTTTCCCTTGTCAAGAATGCTCAGCTCTTGCAATGACCTATTGGATCCATTCTGTCCAAACATTCATCATCATTTTGGCTTTACAACCCTGTGTGGGTCCTAGCCTCCCCAAGAATTTTTTTCCAGCCGTTCTTATCCATCGCCTTTCTCTGCCAAGCACGTATTTCCATATTCCTCATATCTTGGTCTATGTTATCCAGGAATCTTGTTCTGGGTCTTCCTCTTCTTCTTTGACCAATAGCTCTATCAAAGAGAGTTTTTCTAGCTGGGTCGGTTTGCTCCATTTGCATTACATGGCCTACCCACCTCAGACGTCCTATCGTAATGTGTTTTCGATATCTGGTTCCTGGTATATTCTATAGAGTTCGAAGTTGTATCGTCTTCTGCAGACTCCATTTTCATTTACCGCTCCATAGATTCGCCTTAGTATTCTTCTTTCGAAACATCCTAACATGTTTTCATTGCTTTTTCTTAAAGTCCATTTTTCTGAACCATATGTTAGGACTGGGCGTATTATTGTTTTGTATAGTTTTACTTTTGTATTTCTTGATATAACTGTAGACTTAAAAAGAAGATTAAGCCCAAAATAGCATCTATTAGCCGTGCAAATTCTGCGGTTTATCTCTGGGTAAAGTTGTGTAAAGAAGCCGGAGACAGGAATCATTCTGTCTCCGGCTTCTTTACACAATGTAGCTTCGCCTATTTTCAAAAATTTTAAGGTGTTTGTTTGTCCTTATTTAGTGTATTATTGACGAAATGCCCCTGAAGATGATCTAGGGATCGAAAGTACTTGGGCAAGATTAAATTAATACTGTGCTCGATATTTGCCTTTTATATTATCAAAAATACATTATTGTTTAAAGTTAATAAAAACTGTTTTATAAAATGTTTTTAATTTTTTAATTAAACCAAAAACCTATAAATCTTGGATGCGAAAAACTTTTTTAATAAAGAAAAATGTTGAAATTTAGTGTTAATAAAGTTTTTCTCATTGTATTACATTAATGTCATAGTTGGTGTGACATAATAATATTAATAAAATCGTCACTATTTAAAGTTCACATTTTCCTATTTTATCTTCAATAAATCCATAATTCACAAAAGTTTACATCTATTATTTTATCAGTATGCCTCGTAAAAAAAATTTAACATAAATAATTCGTAAGATTTCAGTCTTCATGTTATTGGTTGTTTCAAATTGGCGCCATTAATAGCCACGCATTGACGTCATGCTCAGAATCGAACGAATTTGAAACACTTTGGTGTCATACCTTTTAAATTATTGTATCATGAGATGAACCTAATATGACAATATGAATTTTGGCATAGAAAAAAAAATATGTTATTGTTTGTTCTACTCTGTTGGCTTTTTGTTATAATAGACCACTCATTTCTGTATATTTTATTTATTACAAGACAAACTAATACTAATACATAAGTATCTATAAAGAGCCATAAGGCCAGTCTGTCGACCATCAATATCTGGATCAAATGTCCCATGGGCTACTAGTCTATAACAGAACAAAGCGTATATTGGAATTTTGTACTTGGCAACACTGGTTCACAATGTCTTTAGTGATTCCGGTTGTCAATTGTAATTATATATTTCTAGAATGTAGCACATGTTTAGTTTTTAGTACTTTTGTAGAATAAAGTAATCAAATAATTCACTGCTATCTCTGTATTAGCATCACTGGGAAACAACAAATTCTAATAGCGTAGTCAATGTTATGGAAAATGTAAGCGTGACTAGGAAAATATATTTCCACCAGATAGTATCAACGATTTGGGAGTGCGCTGTACCACACTTTATTTCATTGATAAATCTACATGCAACAACAACAGAAGTCAACAGGAACAACAAGAAAGAAGTCAAACACATATAAATAAATAACACTATATTACATGAAACAAATTTAGTGAAAAATGTTTTAAAAATGAACTAGATGATAGTATACACTGCTGGACAAAAAATACAGACACTAAAATTATTAATAATTATCTGCAAGATGTAACTTTTGTTCGTTTGTAAAAAAATCCCCAAAAGTAAATCATGAATAAATTCATTAACATAAAATATAATTTTTGAAATAAGCATGGAACCAGTAAAATAGAAAATATATACCTTTAAGGGTCGATTGTTCGAACGCTAATCAAAACTTGATTGTAATCAAATATTTAATTTCAATCAAATACTTACGTCACAGCAGCTGTCAAAATTATTAAAAATTGCAAATTATTATTATTGATTTGTAAATAAAAACATGAACTTAATACCAGAAAGAGTTTAATTATGGTTTATTTTAAATTAAAACGCAAAATAATAAAATAAATCGGTCAACATAACCTCAAAATGTGACGTATTTGATTTTAATTAAATATTTGATTACAATTAAGTTTTGCATTCGTTATATGCGTTATAATTTACATTCTAACAGTGTAATTATCCTGGTTAATATCGGATACGAGCATTACATCTGGATCCAACTATTTATCATTCTTCCCGACTAGTATATTACATTTTCTTAATCATTTTTTGTATGTTTTTATGGGTAATAATAGAAAAACTTTGTGGAATAAGTACTAGGTAATTAATTCATCGTTATATATCCTATTTAAATAATCGCTGATAATCACAATATGTGGTCTAGTGTTCTCATGCTAAATATGCTCCAACCAGAGATATGTAAGAGAGGGGATATGACACAAACAATATTTCTGTATTTACTAAATGGGACCACTTAATTTGACACTATGTACAATCCAATATGGCGACGGGTAGGTCCGGATTTAAATTAATTTAAGCTTTATTTACGAAACCCTTACATGTAAATTTTTTCCACCAAAGGTTGAGTTTACCGAAAGTACAAGCTGAATATAGCCGCAAATGTCAAAAATATTTCGGTTTGGCAGTGTTGGCATGATTTTGTAATGCATATGTTGTATGCTTCAAATATAAAGATTTCGTTAAAATCGGTTGATCCAAACCAAAGTTCTAGGTATTTATCCACAAATACTTTCCCACTCTCCCCCACCCTTTATTTGAAAAAATAAAAAAAAGAACTTGAAAACTGTGCGGAATTGAGGCCTCTTTCTAGGTTACTTATTTATCACTTGGTATAATTCGACATATTTCACAAAAAAACTGGTTTTCAAAATTTTCTTCACAGGTTACCCCTAGCGGTTAACCCAGAAACTTGAAAGTAATTTCCAGCGATTTCTCTTGGACACTTTTAGTAAGAAATTTTTTCTCCTAAAGTTATAACATGAATAGTTTCTGATACATAGCCGAGAGATCGGCTTATTGGACCACCCGGTACAAATAATAATCACTAATAATAGTAATAAAAACTTTTGCTCAGACCAGGTCGAATTTTACACAAGCAAAAGTATAAACTAGCTTAATTTACTAATTATATTAATTATCCCATTAAAAGCAAACGTCCTATTTATAGTTCACTGAAAATTTTATTTTCTTTTCAACCCTTAAAATTTGTTTAAGTTTAAAGAAAAGAATTTCTTAGATATTTCAAGCTGTAGTAAACTGAATTATAATTTTTGTTGTATTATATTAAAAAAAATCATTTTAATAAGAAATTTATAAACGTTGGAAAATTTGCTAACTTAGTTTACATTTACACATTTAATTATAAAAGTTTCATATCGGCCCTAAGTACTATTTGACTGATCTATAAATAGGATACTGGCACTTAGTGTTATCAAAATGTGCAGTATTTCAGTGTTCAGATGAATGCGAATCTGTGCCCAACTCTGCGTATCTGCGTATTTTTTTAAATTGTACATTTGTTTATTGCAATTTGCATAAAAAGTTGTATATTTTATCATATTTTTAGGACTAAGTAGTTTGCAGTAACTAATATTTAAACGAATATTATTTTGGATAATAAATATAAAAATAAAGTAAATGATAATACACAGCAGTGGTGTTACAAATTGTGAACACTGAAGTCCTGCCCAATTACGTCGTATAAGCCCATACATTGGAGTATATGCACACGCTGATTTACTGTGCAGGAACAGCAATTGCTAATGATATGGGCATTAAGACCAGAACACGAAGGGGTACTAATACCGGAGGACAGATAACCTTGGGAAAAACGACATCGCAAATCACGGAATATGTTCGAGGAACAACAGGTAGAAAAGTAATCCTAAGAGCAGAAGAAATAATGCTAACCACCGCAAGACACTCACAATATAATGCAGAAAACAACACAGCACAACAGTGCCTGGATACATTAAAACAAAAATTTTCCACTTACTCAGGCCGACTAAGGAGATACAAAATTAGTAGCAAAAGAAAATCCGACAATACGCTTTTTTAAAAAATCCCGAGAAGGCGTTCTATCGGAAACTCAATTCTACTGGAGAAAGTACCAATAAATCTTACCCAAGCAGAGAAGAAATCCATGAGTTTTGGGGAAATCAACTTTCCACACCAGCTGCTCTTAACGCCAATGGTACGGTGGGGACTGGATATCCTTCTGCCGCACCTCATGGAAATATTCAGAGCCTCTTTGGCTCTGAGATATATTCCTAGGAAGTGGAGAGAGGTACGTGTGGTCTTCATACCAAAACCAGGTAGGATGTACTACATCCTACCAAAGGCTTTCCAACCGATTAGCCTAACATCTTTTCTGTTGAAAACGATGGAAAGGCTATGCAAGAGGTACATAAAGGATGAAGTTCTAGGCTATAACCCACTTCACCCAAATCAGCATGCGTATACTTCGGGAAGATCTACCGATTCTGCAATGCATCATGTAGTGGGAAGAATTGAAAGATCGCTGGATAATAAAGAATCCACCTCATTCATATTCATCACCCAACAGCTAAACGTCAGAAATGCTCCCCTGGCCGTAAGCGAATGGATATTCAGTATGCTCTCCAATAGAGCAATAAGCATAAACGTAGAAGAGGTTTCTTTCAGGGGCATGGTTACGAGGGTGTGTCCACAGGGAGGGGTGCTATCACCACTCCTCTGGAACATAGTTCTAGATACACTGGTTGACCAACTCAGCAGCAATGGTTTCCCTACAATAGCCTATGTAGACGATATTGCTGTCCTGTAAAACGGTAAGTTTGAGAATGCACTATGTGAGAGATTACAAGTTGCTCTCCGACTAATAGAAACATGGTGTAAGGAACACTTTTTCATAATTTATTCATCAGCAGAGATTTATTATTTCGTGGTGTATTAACTTGGCGGGAAAATAGATTAGCGGAGTTTCTTATACAAGATACAAAATCTCTTGTTAAAGAAGCGCTTGAGTCACATGATGTTCAATAAGATGTAAATACAGAAATATTTTCTGTAGAATGTAACAATAATAAACGTGTTATAATAGCAGCTAATTTTAATAATATAGAATTTCTCATACAAGCTCGTAGATGGAATCACAAGCTCAAAGGAAAATGTTTATTTCTTAACCGCAAGTATATAACATATTCGTAGGAGGCATGGATCAACAATACTGGTTTATTGGAAAATTTGCCACTAAAATCAGAGCTAAAAAAATTCACACGACAAGTGAAATATGATTAGATTTTCGTCGATCTGTATCAGTTCCCTACTTAAACTTGGTCCTTCGTACAAGATCAAGAACATCAACATCCGAGCAGTATAAGTATTCTAAGACCGATTCAGATGCAGCTTGGTGCATTCAATTTGTGGGAAATTTGTTTACTATGCGATTATGAAGAAATGAAAAATTGCATTTGGAAAACGCATTTTTCAGAATTAAAAAAAAAAATTAACTCAGCAACTATTAAATAAAATAAGTCCAATTTTGCTATTTGAGAGTTTTGGGGGTCACTGCACACGAATATCATGTCGAAGAAGGTCTCCGATGTACCTGGTGCCCAGGGTTTACAGTATGCACCTCTTCTCCCATAGTTTTCTTTAGATTCCATATAAAATCATTCAAAATTTGTTTCCAGGAGGTTTATTTAGATTCCATATAAAATCATTTGAAATACCATTTCAGCGAAGCTAAGAAATGCAATAAAAATTTGATAACTACATGTTTGCTGATGACCAGGTTGTTATAGCAAACGATAAAGATGATCTGGAGTACATGGCAAGGAAATTACAAGAAGAATATAGAAAGTCGGGACTAGAAATTAATACAGAAAAAACAAAATGCCTGCCAATAGGTACCGAACTATCGAACATCAGATTGGAAAATAACGAAATCATCATGCCCTGCAGCCATTACACATACCTAGGAATAGTTTTTGACACAACGGGGAAAGATGATGAAGAAATAAAGAGAAGAATAACACAATCCATAAAAGCAATAGGTTGTCAAAACAGCGTACTGTGGAGTCATAAAATAGGAAAAAGAATAAAACACAATATCTACGAATCTCTTATTAAAAGCAGTCTATTGTACCGAACGGAAACTTGGCGAATAACCGAAAACAACAAAAGAAAACTGGAGGCAGTAGAAATGGACGCTTTTAGAAGATCAGTAGGAGTGTCACGCAAAGAGAGAATACGTAATGATGAGATAAGACAGCGAATGGAGCTTGACGGCTCTCTAACAACAGACATAGAAAGAAAACAGCTGATATGGTATGGACCCGTCCAGAGGTTAGATAACTCAAGACTCCCAAAAATAATTATGCAATAGGTACCACCAAACCGCAGAAAGAGAGGAAGACTCAAGAAATCTTGGAGAGAGGGAGTAACGAAGGCGATGAGCGCAAAAGATCTTAGAGAGGACCAATGGGATGATAGAGTGTCATGGAAATTAGGCATCGGACAACGTCGCCAGACGTTTTAAAAACCGATCGATATATATATATATATATATATATATATATATATATATATATATTTGTAATTAGTTAAAAATGATTTTATAAGTTTCAAGCAAAATGTTAAGAAATCAATTTACCTCACTTGTATTTTTTAGTTTCATTGCAATATTATTGGAGCCAAAATTAAAAATATAAAGGTGTCTGGATTTTTTGACCTGCAATATATTTGAAAAAGTCACTTAAGTTTATTCAGTACAAAAAGTCTTTATATCTCCCCTAACACACTATATCTTGCACGTTTTCTTATGTGGTATGTTCCATATTGACTCATTTTTTTCTTATGGACTTTTTTGTGTTTAGATAGATGGTCAGATCTTGCAAAGGCCTTTTCACAAAGTTCGCATTTATAAGGTTTAACTCCTGAGTGAGAACGTTTATGCCTAGCGAGTTCATCGGATCTGGAAAATCTCCAAGTGCAGTTCAACCAGTTGCAGATAAACGGTTTCTCGCCGGAGTGTCTCCTGAGATGGGCTTTGAGATGAGATGCTTTGGCGTATACTTTTTCACAGTTAGCAATGGGACATGAGAAATATTTATCTTCTTCTCTTTTCTGAGTGTAGTCGTGGGTGATTAAAGCATGTGAACTCTGGATAAAGTGTTTATCTTCAGTTGGAGGATCTTTGGGGGTCTTTTTACACGTGGTTTCATAAAGAAGGTTCCGTCGTCTTCTATTTCTCTCGTCGTTCATGTGTGGAAACATTTCGAAGATACCCAAAGGTTCAGAAACGTTATTCTCCATATTTATTTCGAACGGCAGGGGAAGCACATCGTTAACTCTAGAATTCGTTATTTCTAGATCAAGATCGAGGTTAATACAATCGTCGAATAAATCTAATTCTCTCGTTTTACTTATAGCGTCGTTGGAATGTAAATCCAGATTTACTCCTAATACCGATATGCTGCTTGAATCAAAGAGCCTGAGATCGTCAAATTGAGAAAAATTATCATCGGCTATAGATTCTTCTAATAGGTGGTCGTCGTTATTAAATATATCTTTAATGATACTGTCTAAGAACTTGTCGTCACCGTTGAGAAATGGATATTCCTTTTTTTGAACTTCATCATAATATTTACTGCAGTTTGAAGATTCCATATTTTCTAAAGGAACGAAGAGATCAAGTAGTGAAAACTCTAAAGTATTTTCTAGTACATTTGCTTCTAGAGTACAAGTTTCCCTTTGAACAGTTGCCATCTTCACAGACCTACAAAATGACCATTATCAAAAAAATTATCTATAACTTAACTATTAAAATAGGATCAAATTAAATAATTATATAAGGATAGCATAGTGCACAAATGTGATAAGTAGATAGAGTTAATTATTATTTTATATAACATTTATAAATATATAGTTTGCGTAATTTTGTTGGCCTTGCCTACACACAAAAATATATGACTTTTGAATTATCCCTGCCTTTATGTGAGTGTGATTGAATAAACCATTGGAAAATGGAATACTTAGTTATAGGACCAGTTTTACAGTAACAGTTTAAACGTCTGTTTAATGAATCAAGGGTTAAAAATTATACCAAATTTTAGAAAAATTATGTTTTACAGTAAACAGTATTAGTAAACAAGTTTAACGAACGATGTTGGTAATAGCCACAGTATATTTAATCATTAAACTGTTGTAACAGTTCCAGCCATATCACCAACTTCATAATCGTACAAATTACTAACTTCATTGTTTATATTTTTCAAGTGTATGTAAAGCATCATCGATATAATATACTAGGGATGGAACCTACATATGAATAAATACTTGCGTCTAAAGTAGCTATAATAATGGCTGACTCTTGTTTCCGGAATATTAGCGGTGTAAGAAAAACATCTTTGGGCAAACACGGCCTGGGAGTAATGAATGAAAATGGAGAGCGTTTTACAAATTTTTACTCCAATCATGACTTAGTTACTGGTGGAACCATCTTCCCACATAAAAATATCTACAAGGTTACATGGACTGCACTAGATCATATAAGAGAAAATCAAATAGATCATATCGCTATGTCAAAATATGGAGATCAGCTTTTCTTGATGTACGTAATACAAGAGGAGCAGACATCGCAAGTAACCATCATCTTGTAATCGGTACCATTAAAATCAAGATGACAAAAAAAAAAATTACGCGAAACACTAACAGACGAACATACAATCTAGACAAATTAAAAACGGCTCCAAATAGCTGGGAAGATTTGGCAGATGTTTTGACAGAAATAGCTAAAGATAAACTGAAGAACTGAGAAAAGAACGGATGTCAGATGAAACTCGGAATCTTATCGAGGAAATAGAACAGCAAAATAATGACATTTTGCAAGCAAGGACTGCAGAAGAAAGAACGAACCGACAACAAGAATATGAAACAATAAATAAACCAGTTAAAAGAAATGCAAGAAGAGACAAAAGAAGGTGGGCTGAAGAACTGGCAAAACAAGCTGAAACAGCTGCACAACACAACAGAACTAGAAAGCTATACCAAATTACTAGACGACTAACAGAATTAGAACCTAATTGTTAAAACATTGTGAGATTCAAGACATGCTACTATTACTTACTACAACAAATGACCAAGTAGAGAGAGAGAGAGAGAGAGAGAGAGAGAGAGAGAGAGAGAGAGAGACCTAAAAACAAGAAAGAAGAAATGGATTCCCCCAGAAAACAACGACCTGTATGAAAATACACTAACCAGACATATATAAGACTTGTAAGATGAAATAGAAGATGTAGATCAAGCAAATGAAGGCTCTAAAAGAAAAGAAAAGAGCCCAGCCTTTCTGAGCCATAAAGAAAAACTAAGCCAAAATATTAAAGAGCTAATAGGTAAAAGCAGAATGAAAAATATGGCTCCAACTACATAACAATAAAAAAATTAAATAAATATATCCACTGGTCAATCTGAAAAGACGCAGGAGAAAACGATACAAGAGAAATGACTAAAATAATTCGAGAAAACAAAAGTTTACAGGGTTTGACAAGAAATACGAACAAAATAGAAAACCAAAATATTAACTATTAGTTTGATATGGATTGAAAAGACATAAGAAGAAGAAAATTGAAAGACCACATTTAATACTTCACGACTGCTCCTGGTATTTTTAAAAAGTTATTGGTAAGGTTATTAGTATACATCTAAATCTAATTATTATCAATTTATAATAAAATATTATTTGCAAGGCTTGTTGAGATTAATTTTAAATGTTTTTATAAATATTTTTAACGATTGTTTGGTCTTGAAAATTTGAAGGATAATTTGTTATATCTTGTCAACTAACTACATATCTTTCGTAATATGACCAAAATAGCGTTTTGGAGCATTTAAATCTAGCTGGACAAATATTGTTATCAGGGGATTATTAAAAAATTAAGAATTATTGAGATATTTTAGGTAGACAGTTTTATATTATATACAATTTTTTTTTACTTATTTGTTAGTAGAATAGATATCATACCATCTTAACGAGGTACTGTTTTACAACAAAATAGTACCCTCTTTCAGGAATATTATGCCTGGGTCCATGAATGAACAGATGCTGTACACGGCATGGAAACAGACAGAAATGGGGAAGATTTACGCTACAGATAGAGTAAATCAGCTTTAACTCCAGTTAAATAACAAAACCTGAGAAAGTGGTTTAATACATCGACAACCGGACTATTCAGAATAGCAGCAAGCAAAGTTAGGATAGCCATGTTGATCGCCATTTTTCTTAGCGAAGTACAAATACTTCCGCTAAGAAAATCAAAATTGGTACCTCAATGTAAGAGATGTCAGGCATATGGACAAATACAAGGTTACTGTGCGAAAGAACCAAGATGGGTCCGCTGCACAGGAAAACACCTTACAGCCAAATGTGAGAAACCTAAATGTGTCCACTGTGGAGAAGGGCATCCGGCTAACTATAGAGGATGTATCGAGTATCGTGGAAAAGGAAATACAAAAAATAAAAGATAAATATAACAAAAAACAAACCTTATCCAGACAAACACAAAGAATGCATCCAAAACCTGTAGAAAATCTAAAACAAGAAGAAAACAAAACATAAAATATCTAAGATACTCCAAAAACTAGCAAATAATCTTCCTTCATGTTTCACACATTAGAAGTACATTCAGTTCTTTGTACTATTGCAAAAAAAAACATAACAATACCTTTTATCACCGAATTAATATTAAGTTTGAAGCCTTCAAAGTGCTCTTCTGAAAACTATCACAAATTGACATATGTATGGTTTCGCCATCTTTCCACAGAATATATCCTTTAAAGTGTAGAGGCTGCAGAAACATATTCGAAATTGGAAAGAGTGGCCAAGGCGATTGTTTTAGAAATACACATACACAAGACAAAAATACTTACAAATACAATTATAAATACTAACATAAAGAAGAAAGAAGATAACTAGAGATTTAATTAAAGGACGATGTTAAAGCAGTGAAGCGGTTATTTCTAGTTCTAGTAAATACTGTTTCAAGAAAAATATATCTTTATGTTATTTTGGTTTACGTACAAGTAATGGTGTACCAGAAACATTTCTGATTAATTTATTTAGATTTTGACAGATTCGAAAAACATTGAGATTAAAATATTTTTGTTACTCTATCAGCAAATAAATTATTAGTAACTTTGAACACACTGTATTAATTCCGTTTAACCATATGAATTTTATAAAAACATATTATATAATGTTTTAATAAGTATTTGCTGATGTATGGTAAATATTTAGTAGAAATAATTCATTAAGAAGAAAATTGATGTACAAACAGCAATAATAATAATGAATTATAAATAAAAATAATAAAGTTGTTTTAGGTTATGGATTTTCCGGTTTTACTGTTACGGATTCTTAGAATAACAATTATATCTAATCATTAAACAATATTGAATGCATTGTATATTAGAGTACTTCAGTACTGTTTCAGTAAAGCAGATAATAAATAAACAGCTATTTAAGTAAGCTGTTATATTGTATTAAACAATCTTGTAAAGGCTGGAGAAGTTCAGTGGTTAGCCTTAAATAAGAAAGGGCTTTCCTCTGGGGAATGTGAAAATTATGTTAGATATATACTAAAGAATACATTTCCCCTGAAGATGATCTATTGATTGAAAGTACTTGGGCAAAATTAAATTAATCACCGTGTTCGATAGTTGCCGTGTATACCCTCAAAATAAAATAATTAATGCATTAAGATTTTTCCCATTTAAAGATCAAATCTAACAATCCACAATAAGAAAAAAATAATTGTAGTTACTTATGAGGTATTTTTTGAAGGAGAAAATTTTCATTTTAGCCAAACCTCTTCCCTAAGAATGGACGAAAAATAGACATGAACGTAAACCTTCATGGTAGTAGAATGGATTTCATAAACAAAATAAAAATAAAATAAAAAAAATATAGTGTATAACGATTTGACAAAATAAAAAAATTTATGTTATTATTCGTTCTTTTTTAAAATATACTAGAATTTAGTTTCCTATAGTGAAAGTTTTAGTTTATCAAATCAGCTTTAAAAAGTTAATAATTAATAGGAAAGGGCCTTTCCAAGCGGACGAAAGTAACCATATCTTTTAGTAACTAAAGCCATCTACAAAATAATACTATGCAATGACACACTATATGTTCTGCTTTTTATTTTCTCAGAAGCGACAGTTTTTGTAGTGTCCATTGAGAAGACCTGTTGCTAAATATCTTTTTTAAGTTTTTAATATTGATATTAGGCCAGTGAAATTCTAAATAACCCTTTTGGTTAGTCCCCAAAAAACTTCCGGGCATGGGAAACGGGAGTTTGCTCATTGTTGTTTGTTGGCATCCTCATTTCTTCAGATCCACTTATAATTAACAGATTTTGACAGTTTGACTTGCAGTTTGCAAAAAAACTGATATCAGTAGATAAAGATCTTTGCTCTGCGAAAATCTCTACTAAGTCACTCATGTCACTGACGTCTATAACGTTTATTTATACCTGAAAGTTAATTGGGCGTTTTCAAGGTACTTTGCGAATGAAGTGAATCAATTTACACGAAATGTCGAAAAGAACATGTTGGTTTTAGAAAGGGATTCAGCACAAGTGACCATTTACTAAGTATGAGAATACTTATAGAACGAGCAAATGAATACCACATTCCTCTATATATAGCGTTCATAGATTTCGAAAAGGCTTTTGACAGTGTCGAACATTGGGCAGTGAAAAGTTTTTTGATTAATAGCAGAATTGACCACAGATATACGGAACTAATAGTCGATATATATATATATATATATATATATATATATATATATATATATATATATATATATATATATATATATATATATATATATATATATATATATATATATTGAAGCCAAAACAACAATTAAAGTATATGAAAGAACAAAATCAATACAAATAGAGGCGTGAGACAGGGTAACCCAATATCACCGAAATTTTTCAATCAGGCTCTGGAAGATATTTTTAAAAGATTAGAATGGGAAGAAAAAGGTATTAAAATTTATGGACAGCGCGTGAACTATCTAAGGTACGCTGATGACATTGTATTGATAACCGATAAAACAGAAGAATTGTTTTAAATGATGAAAGAACTGGACGTAGAAGCTGGAAAGATAGGCCTAAATATGTATTAAAACAAGACCAAAATCATAACAAATACAGATGAAGACATCAAAATGAGGATCGGACAAGATGAAATAGA